TGAGCGACCCCGACTCAGGCCACGCGTCTAGGACAATGCGGCTGACAACATCCCTCTGCCTTCGCAGGGCCGCCAGCGACGGGCATCGGCGAGTTCTGGCAGCAGCGCCCAACTCCGACAGGCGATGGATCGCCGAATAAATTCTGGCCCAGGCTTTGTACTCACTACTAGAATGCTGCTTGAGAGAGCGCTCCCAAGCCTGAATGAACGGTTCATTCGCTGTCTTAAAACCCTCGGCTCGACCTCTCCAGGCGCTTTGCGCCCAGTCTGACAGGTCATGAAACTCCGACAGATAGGCTTCGGCATGACGAAACCAAGCAGCACACGCCTCGCCGAGATCTCCAGGGAGTGCCCTTCCAATCGTCCACGGCCACTCTTCGCCTGAAGCAATCTGTGGCGCAGGCCGCGCAGGGTGCGGCTTGCCGATCGGAAACTTGAGCAGAAAGACGGGGCGCGTCACGCGCGCCTGTCTCCCCAGGCCTCTGAGCCGAACGTGTACAGGGATGTGCGTCTGCAGCGTCGAGCCCTCGATCGGCACCACCGCATGGATGAAGCCAGACAGCACGCGCGAGCAGACGCCAAAGTCAATCTCTCTGCCACCGCACGTTGGTGCACCCGTTGTCAACAGAATCGCTCGAGCGCGCAGGGCCCACTCCTGCACCTCTTCGGGCGGCACGTTGAAGTCCCCAAGCACAATCCACGGCCCAGGCAATGAACCGAGGTACTCCATGAGCTGCGCCAGAATGTCGACATTCTGCTTGGTCAGGCCGATGCTCGTGACCGAGTACAGGGAGACCACATGCAGCGGCACCGCCAAGCCCACGTTGAGGCGCACCGACTCCACTCTGTGCGATGGCAGCAACAGTTCAGCCAGGACCCGCGGCTCTCTGCTGGCTGCCAGTCTGCTGAGAACGCTCACACCTCCGCTCGATTGAAGAGGTCCGTCTCCCGTCGAGTCAGCCTTGCGCGCATACATGTAGTAGGTGCGCTTCATGGCCCATCGCACGGCCGATTCCAGCAGAGGACCGCTCTTGATGCGATGCTCCTGCAAACAAAGCACATCAGGCAGCGCCTGATCAGCACTGGCATGGGCCCATTCCAGCAACGTCTGCGCCGACGTCCAGCTTGATGAATTGGCCGACCACAAACTTATCTCATGCTGCACACCGGCATCCGTACTCGCTCCAGCTCCATATTGCTGAAGCTCCTCTTGCGCTCCAAACCTGCCCCGCATGCGATCAAAGACGCTTGGGCTTCTTGGCCGCGCTGCCGAGGGCCTCACGGAGCCGCTTGGCCTTGACAGGGTCGTCGAGGTCCACTCCAGCCTCCTTGAGACAGGCCTGGATGTCGGGGTCCTCGGAATCGAACTCGACGTCGACGTCCATGCCTCCTGCAGGTACGTCCACGCCAGAAGCAGCGGCGCCCCCAGCGCCAGCAGGAGGAGCATCAGGCTTAGCAGCGCTGGCTGCCTCGGCCGCCTTTGGTTTCTGCTCCTCCAGCTTCGCCGCTGTCTCCTTGGCCATCCCAGCCACGTCGACGCCGAAGTGCGCACCCATCGCGTCCAGCATTTTGCCGAAGTTCTCCAGCAGCTCGATGCCGCTGTTGATGTCTCCGACCTTGGACTGGTCGAGGATGACGGCCTCCACCTGCTTGGCGGTGATGGCTGCCTTGATATTCTTGAGGTTGCCTTCGTGCACGGCAAGTTGGGCGATCTGCTCTTCTGCGAACTTTCGGGCGGCCTCGAGTGCTGCTTCTGCCTCCTTGACTCGCTCACGACTTGCATCAATCTGCTTCTGCTTCCGCGTCTCCCAGCCAAACAGGTCCAGGAGGGACTTCGAGCTGAGGTCTGCGGGTTGGGGCTCATCCGACGCGGGTGGCTTCTCTGCGAAGGCCACCACGTCGTCCATAGACTTTCCCGAGTGCTTCTCAAAGGCACGGAGGATCTGGACAACGATCGCATTGTCAGGGGCCCGTTCTTTGTCCTTGCCTCCGCCGCCACCCTTGGAGCGGTTCGAGCCCCCAGGCTAGTCTCCACCCCCTTTCGCACTGCGGGGCGGTCCACGTGCCCAGTCCCCCTGGAGTCGCTCTGCCCATGGGGGAGAGTCCCCAGGCCTCCTCTGGATGTTCTGGGCTCTGGGTGGGCCGATCTTTTCACATTCACGACAATGGGTTCGCCATATGAAGTTGGCATACCGACAGCGGGAGTCGCTGCAGACCCAGGTTTGGAACTGCTTGCCTCCCATACCATCTTGGCCAACGGACATGGGCGAGAAGAGGAAATCTTTTGGCTCGAGACAACTGCGCCACTTCCAAGTGCGCTGCCTCAAAGGTTGTGCCTGCTCGAAACCTGGAAATGGCTGGGAGGAGGAGGAGGAGGAGGAGGAGGAGGAGGAGGAGGAAAAGGAGAACGAGGAGGAGGAGGACGAGCAGGAGGGGGAGGAGGAGGAGGATGAGGATGAGGAGGAGGAGGAGGAGGAGGAGGAGGAGGAGGAAAAGGAGG